TACACCCGAATCGTGACGCAACCGAGAGACATTTCCCATTTGGTTAAACTAGATTCTGACCTTTAACTGCTCCCATTTCTTTTAATTAGTCATAACAATGAGAAGCCCATAAACCCGGGGGAATACAATGTTAATCTCGACCGACAGCGTTAATACGATCGTTATTCCTTATTTTGTGATGATATTTCCGTCTTTAATGACACTCACTTATCTTTAAGTCAAGATAATGCTACATCCAGTCACTCAGTAATACAGTGATAAACTCAGCCCTGAAGGAGATAAGAGCATCATTCATTCATAACTGTGATGGGATTTTCTACTTTAGCAACACCTGCTATACTTGGCAATAATAGGGGCAAAAGAGTGATACACAACTGAGTCTCGGATGCAATTCCAGTATACATAGTCGAGTTCTCACCCTTACCGACACCCACTGAACTCTGGACAAACAAAATGCTATAACTTATTCATCCTGTACATTAGCAATACAAATGGGAAGTTAATGTTGATAAGGGCGTTATTGTCGCGTGTTGGTATGTGACTCTTACCCTTAAAGACACACATGGAACGTCGGGTCAACACAGTGCTACACATCATCCCCGGGGGGGGGGGATACGAGGTAAGACAATGCTACCCGTGATAGGTAACTTAGATAAGATCTCTGAGAAAGTGTCTATAAACTTGTATTTTCGCCTCTAACAGCACATCAAATCCCCTCACCTCGGGGTCAAAAAAGTGCTATATTGAACCGTATTACGTATATAAGGGTGCAATTCACTTATGTACAAATTATATTTCCGCCCTTAATAACACACTTTGAATTCTGAGCCAAGACTGTGCTAAATCACCTGTCTTCGGGGCAATACAGAGATACACGTGAGAAACTGTAGCTTATAACGATATTCTCTTAGGCTGAAGCAAGAATTCTCACCCTTAGCAACATCCACTGAACTCTGGGTCAACACAGTGTCACACAGGCGTTACCTTAGGAGAAATACAGTAGTACACAAGTGACACCTGATAAGGGTGTCATTCTCGATGGTTGAAGTAAGTATTCTCACCCTTATAGCGACGTCTGGAGGTAATTTTCGAAGACCGAGTGAGAATTGATTTCCAATGGCACAACTACACGGCCAGTGAGGCATTAAAGTGAGAGAGAGAGAGAGAGAGAGAGAAGAGAGAGAGAGAGAGAGAGAGAGAGAGAGAGAGAGAGAGAGAGAGAGAGAGAGTTCTTTATATCTCACTGAGTCAATCAATAACAATAAAACTAATATTACTACTACTACAACTGATAATAATAATAATAATAATAATAATAATAATAATAATAATAATAATAATAATAATAATAATAATAATAATATTTTTTGATCGTGTTGCTTATTTATTATTTTACTTATTTTTATCGTTTGTTGCAGGTATAGTATAGTATTGTTTGTTGCTTATTTCCAAATTCGTTTGTTTTCTAGTGTGTGTTTCTTATTTCCCATTGCTTGTTGCTTGTTTTCCACCGTTTGTTGCTTATTTTCTAGGGTTTGTTGCATTTTGTCTGTTCTTTAGCTTATATTTCGTTTATTTTTCTTGTTTGGGAGTTTATTTTCTATCACAAGTTGTTCCTTTTCTCGTGATTTTTTTTTTTTAATATTTTGCTTAAATCCGAACAATTTTGACTTCTGAGGGATCTGTCCACTGATTGGTCCCATATTGTTGACAATGACGTGTCTGCCCACTGATTGGCCTCACAAAATCTATCCATAAATAATATAACGTTGAGGGTAGGCGGAGCTAATAACGTGTCTCCTCACTGATTGGCTCATATTGTAAAGGGAAAACGGGTAAATGAAACGTTTCTGCACGCTGATTGGTTCGCGAGATAACGTCATCAATAGCAGTGTTGCCAACTATCTCTTAAGTGGATTTTCGAACGTTTTTTTTTAAGGAACTTTTCAATTAAATAAGAAATATGTCCGAGTTAAAATGGGATAAAATTGCACTGACACTCGACCATATTGGTGTGTGATGGTGTTGTAGTGGTGGTGGTGTTGTGATGTGTTGTGTGGTGATGGTGATGGTATTGTAGTGGTGGTGGTGTTGTGATGGTGTTGTAGTGGTGGTGGTGTTGTGATGGTGTTGTAGTGGTGGTGGTGTTGTGATGGTGTTGTAGTGGTGGTGTGGTAGTGATGTGTTGGTGGTGGTGGAGGTGTGGTAGTGATGTGTTGGTGGTGGTGGAGGTGTGGTGGTGATAGTATTGTACTGTGGTGATGAGTGGTGGTGTGGTAGTGATGGTGTTGGTGGTGATGGTAGTGGTGAGGTTGGTGGTTAGTGGTGTGGTACTGGTGTTAGTGTTGGTGGTGGTGGTAATAGAGGTGGTGTGGTGGTGAGACGTAATATGCGGGTGTGTGGTGGTGATAGTGAACCACCTCCTGCTACAACATCACCACCACACCTCCCACCTCCACCACTACACCTCCACCAGCACACCTCCTACCACTACCACCCACCCACCCTCACCTCACTACCACCACCACAGTGTGAAAAAGGTCAGTTATAAATAGGGAGGAAGCAGCCGTGATTAACTAAGTTTATTTTGGGGTAAATAAGCAAGTAAGTAAATAAGTAATTAAGTAAGCAAAGAAATAAGTAACTCTGAGTGAGTGAGGGTAAGTGAAATAATAAAGATGAAACCAAGAGCTTCCACTACTACTACTTTGCTGTCACCCGGCATCGCGTCTGACGATCATCCAGCTATGATACAATAATATAAGTTATTAAAGATGTCACCTTCGTTGGTGGTGAGGTGACTAGAGAGGCAGATACAGGACCGGCAGGCCCGTCACAGAACATGTGGAGGCTACATCTGGGAGGGGCGGCAGCGTCTTTCCGGCTCTGACTTGTCTGCCTGGGTATGCAGTCGGGTTAAATAGAAAGTATTGACCACACATATAATAATAATAATAATAATAATAATAATAATAATAATTATAATAATAATATAATGGTTGTCCTTCGTGTACGAAGATGGCCGGCCCTAGGGTCACCCAGGGTGAATTTGTTTAAGCCTTAGCAGCTGTCACCAACACAATACCCGCCCCCTAACCTGGCGAGCTGTATGGCCGGACAATTCTCCAACTGCACTGGCTAATCATTACCCCGGAACACGACCCAGGTTCTCAATTACTGCCGGACACACACACACCAAATAAGAGCCGTGTTTATCTTCCACGTATCATATTTTGGAAGCAAGTTAAAAAAAATGCGTTTTCTTTTCAGTATTTTTTCTTCAAATAATTCCCGAGTCTTCGTCTGGGATTAGTAAAATCTCCTGCATTTTCTTTTAGTTAGAATTAAAATAAACTCCGCGATTTCTTTGGCCGGAATAAACTATAATAAAAAAATCCAGCGTTTTCTTTGGCAGGATTAAAAAAAATTCTCGCGTTTTCTTTGAAGCGGAAACCGGAGATGACGCACAGGTACAGGTTGCCAGTTTGTACTTGGGGATCTATTTTTTCTTAATCTTACATTCATTTTTATCATTCTCTCTCTTTCTCCCTTCCCCACTCTCTCTGTCTCTCTCTCTTCTCCCCTTTCTCTTTGTGTCTTCCCCTAACCCGTCTCTTTCACTCACTCTTTTGACTTTCTCTTTCCACTTCTTTCTCTCTTTCTTTCCCGCCATTTATCTTTCCCTCCTTCTCCCTATCTTCACTTTATATTTACACTTATTTATCTCTCCGCCTCTCTCTCTCTTTACTTTCTCTTGCCACTTATCTCTCCTCTCTCTCTCTCTCTCTCCACTACAATATGAAACAGTTTCCTTTATTCTACAACCCCCCCTCACCCTCCAACTCAACCCTACACCCCTCAACCCCCCCACCCTTCAACTACATCACTATGACTCTTGACCAAAATCACGTGCCAGGGTCAGGGCTGCCATAGGACAAAACCATCAATGTTAACGGCTAACACATTTTTGTTAAAGCTTGTAGTACAGTTTGCCTATTCTGAGTAATTCAGTCAGGTCTTGACACTGAGGGTGGTATCACTTCCCACTGCCACACAGGACAGAGGTTCATACACAGTAGAAGTCACATTCTATTTGAGGACTAATCAGTGTGGGCTAGCAAATTTTGGATCAACAGCAAGAATGTAGGATAGATTTTTACACACACACACACACACACATCACTGGCCATCTTCTAGCAGGGAGTAAAGACATCTATTGACGTTACCTGAGGGTCAACAAATGGACCCTCCCCCCAGGTTACACGAGTCAGTGGTAACCAAGCATGGCAGCTAGTGAGTATGTGAACCAGAGACTCCCCACCCGCCTTTACCACCAACATGGGTCTGTCGCTTCCCTCTTCCCCCGTTAGTCAGGTCACACAACATATGAAAAGCCCAGTTATACACCAAGTAATAATGGCTCCATGGACGAGTGTTACAGTGCTACTTTAAACCATCTATCAAGAGACACACACACACACACACACACACACACACACACACACACACACACACACACACACACACACACGCTACATCTTCTTTAATTAACAGTCATAACGATCGCCTTACATTCCGCTCAAAATTCTCCCACCAACTCTCAGCTCAAGCTTCTCTGTGATTTAAAGTTATCTCTCTCTCTCTCTACCACCACCCCCTCTCCTCTTTGTATAGAATGTAAAAGTATTGGTGGTCTGAGAGAGAGAGAGAGAGAGTTATGTACATACTTGATGCTGATTGGACGACAGTCATGTGAGGCTGTACTAGAGCCTGATTGGTTAATGGTGACAGTTACTTGACGCTGATTGGATGAAATTCACTTGAGGCTGTACTAGAC